AGCCTCTTCCTCGTCCATATCCTCTATTGCATATTTGGCCTCTTCTATAGTTTTGTGTTCTTATATTATTATAACCTCTACCTTGGTCTTTGCTAGATTGAAACATTTTGTGTCCACGATGTCCACACTTATAGCAAATAATAAATGCTGCTTCGGACTGCTGTTCACCACTGACATTTTGTTCCTTAACTTCTGCATCTAATGGTCTTGCTTTTACAAATTCTATGTCAATTTCTTTGCCGTAGTCATTGCTTCTATACTTGTGATTACAGTATCATATTGTATTGGCATTGATGACAATAAATAACACACTTTATCCATATCGTCCACTCTACAACCTGCTGCCGCTAATTCGTTGATTAAATTATCATTTTAAGGAAAAAGTCTTGTAGTTTTTCAGTTTCAGAACATTTTACGGTTATTTATTTTCTTTTAAATGCAATTTATTTAGTATGCTTTTTCGTTCACAAGTGTTTTCAAGTTTGCTCATCACATTTTTAGCAGTCTTACATTTCTTCACAATTTCTAGGTACTTGTCTGATAAGCATTGTACCAGCAAGCATTTTGCCTTTGCCTCTTTTTATCAACGATCTCTGGTTCACTATCTGTACTCATAACGGTCCATACTTCTTTTTCTTCAATTAACAGCTTTATTCTAAATTTGCAATTGTTAAAACTTTTCTCATCGCATTACCTAGGTATGGCTTCTTTTCAGACAAGGTGTAATTTTTTAATCCTTTTGTGTTTTACGTAATATATATGATCGCCTTTAGTTTTCTTCTTCATTTCACTTTCCGTTTTTTATTCTTGCTTTTTTGCAAAATATTTTTGGTTCTTGCGCAGTGGAAACGTTTGTTGGAGAGAGAAAAAACATTACCTAAAGACATCTTTATTAGCAGAGAGAGAGACAGCGATACTTAAAACTAGGGTTGCTATTGCTTAAAATAATATCTAGATAGATAGATAGATATAGCATTTATTTGCATCACTTTACATGCCTTGATACAATATCAAATATAAGAAACAATTAAATATTAGTGTAATATTTATTGTTTCAAATGCCCGAGAAAAATCTAATAACACTAAAATAGTCCCCTCGCCACTATCCTGAGACTCAATGATATCATCCACTACATCTGCCAGAGCAGTTACGGTGCTATGACATTTTCTAAATCCAGATTGTTTGCTTGGTAATATATTATTCGCCTCAAGATATTTTGTCATTTGAATGCATACAATCCTTTCTACTACTTTAGACATGAGAGGCAAAATATTTATAGGACGCAAGTCCTTGAATTCCGTAGAATTTTGATTTTTGGAGATAGGTCTTACGATGGCTGCCTTCCATGCCTCAGGAAAGACACCAGTCTCAATAGATTTATTGACAATGTAAGTAATTAACGTGAGTGTCCGGGGTAATGTTAGTAGTATCATATTCAATGTTATATCATCAGCACCCCGTGCATTGGTAGTTATAGATTTGATAACATCGCTAACAATGGATTCTGAAACCAATTCTAACCTGAATAAAGCCGTGCTATGTCTATTACATTTGTAAAAATTTAAAAGTAAATCATCAACTTTCGTCTCGCCCGGAATATCTAGAAAATGTCTGTTCAAACTACAGGGGTTAGATAAATGTAAGGGTATATCGGTCTTCTTTTCTTTGAAATTAAGTATGTCATTTTTATATTTTTCCACAAAGTTTTTGGGTTTTTGGAATTGGCATTAAAATATATGTAAGCGGATTTTTCGTTTTAAATAGCTGATTTCACTATATCCTTTAGCTGTTTGTAGTACTCTTTGTGTTCCGGTAATTTACTGATTTTACTTCTGGCAAAAGCCTTCACGCAACTTAATGATTTCCTTAACAGTAAACGTTATCCACGGGTGAGAATGACTTCCAATGCGTGTTGATTTGACTGGAGTATATTTATTAAATACACGTAGCAATAATGCATTAAATGATTTTAACATAGTATTCACGTTCTCGGACCTTAAACTTTCCCATTGAATTGCATCTACCTCAATATTAAATTGCTCACAGTTTATATCTTTTATTGGTCTGAAAATTACGAATTTCGGAGGCGGTTTCTCCTTATGAATATTAAGGCTGCATGTAACAAAAGCATGTCTGCCAAGTTCCGGAATGTGATTAACACATACCTTGTAGACTTGAATATTACTACAAATTACGTCTATCAGCGTTCCCTATTATCAGTAAAGTGAGTTGGTTGTTCTACATATTGTTTAAGGTTCATGCAAGCCAAAAAGTCACTTAACTTTTTCGTACTCGAATCGTTACTGTTCATAAGATTAATATTAAAATCTCCGACTAAAACGATACGATCAAAGTGACCAAGCGAGGCAATAGACTCTGTAAGCGCATCAATAAACATTTCAACGTTAAACCACGGAGGGCGATATGCTGTACCAAGCGCCAGTCTTACACCACTCAAATTAACGCTTATCCACATTTGTTCAACAGAAGGTGCGGACGGATGCTTGATAATTCGTGCACTTATATCCCGACGAGTATAAAAGCCAACCCCGCCCCCCCGCGTGCGAACACAGTCGAGCTGTGGAAAAGTGGCGCAGAGGATAGCCCGGCACGCAATTCTTCTCCTTCTCTAAGCCAAGTTTCATTAATTGCCATTATATCAACATTGTGCTGAGACATTGCAGTTATAAATTCATCATGTTGTGTTCCCAATGATCCAGGATTCAGTAAACCAACAGACAACCGCTTAGACTTTTTATATTGAATGATGTAAGCACATGCGATTAACAGATACCCGCAATACAACAACAACAAATGCAACTCGACAAAGATATGTAATATGTCGCCAATCCGCGAGTATGAAAAACGTAAAATAAAATAGCCGACCAAACCATTGCAAGCAGAACAAGCCAGTACCTACACTTTCCCGTCGACTCATTTTATTCAAAAATAAGTAAACGTACGAATGTTGCTTCTTTATTATTGTCTAGTAAGAAGTACTCGTATAATATAAAATATTTAGTAACGGGTTATTAGTGTAGGAAATGATAGAATAATATACCAGAATATAAACATGTAATAAAATCAATTTTATTTATTTATTTTATTTAACAGTTTATTGTACACAATAAAAACACTAAAGTAACAATACAAATATAACTGACACAACAGGCACTACTTATTTCTAATCAGAAATTAATTTAATTATTAATTAAATTAAATCAATGATATTAGTAGATCAGAAATAAATAAAAATAACAATTTAATAAATATTATTACATCAGCAATTATATCAATTAATATAAATTTCTCACTAAAATAAATTAAAAAATAAAAACTACAAAGAATAACAACAATAACGTAAGGTGTGTGTTGACTAGAAAAAATATGAAGTAAGTAAAATTTGCTTTGCATCGCTGTAATACCATTAATAATTACATTAATTAACACAAATTTCACATTAACATCTAATATATGTAAATGATATTTACCATAAAAAATAACCATTGTATCCTGACTAGAAATATAAATAAAGTAAAATTGTACCATTAACCATAACTTAATTTGCATCTCTATTACACCAATAATAGTCACATTAATAAAGTCAAATATTGCATTAACATAAATTGATAAATGAAAATTAGCATAAGGAATACAGACGAAATCTATTAAGTGTTGACCAGAAATATAATATGAGCAAAATTGTGCCATTAACAAGAGATTAATTTGCGTCACTATAACACCCTTCCGAAAACTATTCTCTTGAAAAAAACATCCTGAAAACGCTTCTACAGACACTAAACAACACATAATCAAACATAAAGCGAATAAAAGAATAATAGACAATAGGGAAATAAATTTGATTTATAATATAAGAATGTAACAACACAATAATTTATACAATATGCACTTTTTCGATATTTAAAATTGGAGCCAAAAATATTTTTAACTTTAATAAAATTTTAATTTTTAAAATGTTCATCATATATTTAAAATTGGAGCCAAAAATATTACTAAACCTTAATAATACTTTAATTTTTAAAATTATTTTTATTATTTAAATAATTGTTAAAATTAATAATTTTTAAATATGATGAACATATATTCCAAATAATAGCTTCCATAATAAGAATACTATACCTTAACGAAATGAAACTTTACAAGCCTTGATGATATACAGTATTGTCTCAGTAACTTTGGTATCATATAAAAGAGATAATATGAAACCGATTCACCAATAAACATGTTGTAGTTTGGAAATATTACAAAATTGTATCCTACAACAATAAAATGAACATAACAATAACAATAATAGTTTAAAAAGCATGCAAAATTATTTGACAACATATATCTGTTGGTAATGTCTTTCAGACAATTTTTTTTTATTATTAGGACAAACAGCATCCAATCCAAAACACTTTTCAAATCAGCTTCCATTCGCAAACGAAAACGCGGGGTAGTTGCGTTCTGATCCTTCCTTACAAAAATTCGACCGTTTCTTGTCCATATATAACGCCAGTTTAAGCAACTCCCAAGTTCTCGTGCTTGTCGAAACAATTGTCTATTAATTTTTGTAAGTCTTTCGTTTATATAAAAACGGCCCGGCGGCACTGAGAGATTCGTGCCCTCTGTAGTTGCACCTCGACGCACGCGCGCGGCTTGTAGGAGTTTATCTCTTATAGTCTGTCGCGCAAGTCTCACTATTATAGGGCGAGGACGAGGTACAGTAGATACATTCGCTGAATCAAGAATACGACCCACACGTTCCGTACTCACAATTTTCTGCTCAATCATGTCAACACCTAATTGCTTAGCCAAAACTATAACCGTGTGAAAAAGATTCTCTCCCCTATCTTCCGGAATGCATGAAATTTCAACGTCATTTAACAGGAGGTCCTGGTCCCGGTCGTTGAATTCTGCACGCAGCTGTTGTATGTCATCCAAAATCACTTTATCTATTTGCTCGCTCGAGAGACGAGACTCCAGATTGCATAGGCTCTCATCTTTTTTTTTTTTCAAATTTTGTAACTCGGTTTTCACATTCCACTATTCTGTCCGATAAAGCAACCAAAGTATCATTTAGACGTTCAGTGTAAACACGATTGTTAAGCAACTGTTCCCGAATTTCATCTCTAAAGGATCGCATCTCCAAAACAAACGATTGAAAATCACTCATCTCAATAGTAATGTTATGATGCGTGTCGTTAAGTACCTCCTGAGATTCCAGTTGCTCTACTATAGATAAGTCCAGCTGCAAAGGACTTTTCGTTGCAGCTCCACGCAGCACCGTAAAGAAATCCGCAGCACGAGCAGGGGTGTTGGTTTTGTCCGTCTTTGGCTGCTTACTCTGACATACTACACATTTCCATGCATCCCTATGTTCTCTCGTAAGCGTATTATAGAAACGTTGCTCCGACACATTAGCGCCCACCAAATCATAACATTGCTTGCACCCGCTACATGAGAGATACCTCCTATCAGGTATTATCACTCTGCATCCTCCACAGATTATTTGACTTGACATCATTAATTAGATTTTATTTATGGAATAAGTGAGGACAAACAATAACAATAAAGTTGCTTTTTTTCTCCAGGTGTTATTTATATGAGGGTAGGTTGTAATTCAATTAATCAAGTTTCGCACACTGTTTTTAGTTACTAAGCACTGCTCATTCCCAAAACGAACACTAGAACCACGAACACTGATACTAAGCTTTACTTTGATATAATTTGTAAGTAGTTTACACTGGTTTTTATATTTTATTTCATAAAAATACTTAAGAAAGGCTCTGTTCAAGTCACAGTTTGACAGCCGAAAAGTATGTTGATAACGACGTGTGTTAAGAGATGTTATATTGAATTTACTCACTCTGTCCTCATATGACATCAAACTACGGCTGGTACCAAACTTTATACTCAATAGTTTAAATGCTAATAATTATTAACATATGGGCCGTCACTTTAGTGACGATTGATATCTCAACATATAAAACAACCAATTGCACTTACGTTCTGTAAGGTCTAATGAAGACTTTAATCTCGAAAAAATGTTATTAATTTAAAAATTTGGTACCAGTAATATTCAGTGATATCAGTAATAGCCTTGAACTAATTACAATTTAAATGGACTTTTGCGCTACTGAGGACATAAATTATGACACTATGACTAAGGACATTAATTAGGACACTATTAAAAATAATTATTGTATTGTTGATTGTTGATCAATAAAGTTAGCCTCAAAGTAGTACATTATGTTGTATTTGACTGTGATATCGCTTTAATTTTTAATGCAGTAGCTTAGGAAACATAAAAAATCGTTCCTGTTGCAATTTTTATAAGTCTATCTTGGTAAGACAGCATTGCATCCATGTTGAAAACAGTTTTATTATGTCGACCTCCTCCGTGCTTTGGAAACCACGTTATGCCGTTCATCCCGTCTGCCTTTGCAGCCATTAGCACCTGCAAGTTCGCATTTCCCTTCCGCGGTCGGTTAGGGTCGAGCTATATCTGTCAACAGCATTTTCACTTTTTCTATACACCGACTAAGTATTTTACAATAACTTGTAATGTATTGATAGCAATGGTTCAATAAACGATTTATCTATCTATCTTTTCTGTAGCTCAGAAGTGCTTTTTGCTAAAGTGAGAAACCGCCGGTTGCCTATCGCCTTGGGGATTCTTCGGCGTGCACTTATTTCCTGTGCGTATGACATCAATAGTCTATGCATTATTAAAAATGGTGGATTTTGACAATCGAAAATAAGAAAGCGATAGCCAGCGACGCTACCTAGATACTTCAAGCTCTACGTCACATTCACCCTATTTAATGTCATCTATAGGAAAGGCTTGTGTAAGTGCAAAAAGAGGTAAAATGATATAAATAATTACTTTTAAGTAGGTAGCATTGTTCTTGAACACTGTAATGTTCACGGTCACCACGTTTGTTTGATTTACCTTCCACATATTCACCTTAATCACCTCGTTCAATGCTGAAGGCAAGGACGTTATGTTACAGTCTCCTACTGATTGAAGCTCTGATTTATAACGGCCCTGCAAAATCGTCAATGTATTTAACCAAAAAAAGTCTCGTTCAAGAAAAATTTTTGACGACCTTCATCACTCGCATGATCACCGGTTTCTAGGGGTGAAGTTCCGGGATGAATTTTGGAAAATGAACTTTTCTATACAGACTTGAGTCTGAATGTTCGTTGTTTAAGACTTCCATATTACAAGTACTAGCTACTTACTCGTATTTTGGGATAGGGAATGCAATCGGAATACTTCGAAATTCGAAAATAACCGAAAAATCCTGAATTACAGAACCTTTTAAGGTTTTTAAAAGGTTTTGTAATTCCGGATTTAAAACACAAGTTCGTTTTTTTAGGATTCGAGTTAAAATTGTCACGCCGACACGCGAGCGTAACTCGCTATTTCATTTCAGACACACTTTATGAAAATCGTGGTTCTTCACCACTCAGTCTTAAAGAAAAGCACAATCGGGAACTTTCTCTTTTTTGAAATTTCTGACTGAGAGCATCTATAATAGCCGTTACCGGAACTCTACTTTTTTACTCAAGTACTCGTATATTATTTTTTATTTTAATTTATTTTACTCACACAAAACTATTTTTAACTTTCAGCCCATCACGCCTATTGTTCAGTTATTGTCCAATTATTGGCGGGTAGATTAACTTTTAATGCGCGTAACAAAATTCGATCCGTGTTATCAAAGTGCATTCAATGCTTTAAGTACCAACCGTCTGTGGTGCAACCAATGATGGGTCCGTTACCCGCACCTAGATTAATACCGAATAAGGTTTTTAGTCACGTCGGCTGTGATTTGGGCGGACCATTTATCGTGAAGGAAAGCTTGCGACGTAATGCCAAAACATTTAAGGCATACCTTTGTTTGTTCATATGCTTTTCCACAAAGGCAGTGCACTTAGAAGTGTTAACTGACCTATCAGCAGAATGTTTTTTAGCCGCGTTTGATAGGTTTGTGTCAAGGCGAGGGCTTTGTGCTTGTCTCTACTCCGATTGTGGAACCAATTTCATAGCATCTGCAAAATATTTAAAAGAAGTGTGTTGTTTTTTTAATAATAACGAATTTAATAATGAAATCCTTAACGGTTTGACATCGCGATCGGTAGAATGGCGAAATAACCCAGCCAGTGCAGCTTCTATGGGTGGGCTCTGGGAAGCTGGCATTAAGTCAGCCAAACAGCATTTAAACCGCACTGTAGGGGATCGTTCTTTGACATATGAAGAATTGTCAACCATTTTCTGTAAAGTCGATATCAAATGATCCAAACGAATTTGATATTTTAACTGCCGGTCACTTTCTTATCGGACAAAATTTACTTTATACTTTCCGTTCCGGAATATAATGTTGAGGATGTGCCTCTGCATAGATTGTCACGTTGGCAATCCATACAGAAGGCAACGCAATCATTTTGGAGACGTTGGTCCGATGACTACCTCCACACAAAGGGAGAAGTGGCACACATCTCCTCCTAATGTCAAAGTAGGAGATTTAGTGTTACTTAAGAGCAAATTAACTCGGCCATTACAATGGCCTCGTGATAGAATAGAAGCGGTCCATCCTGGAATTGATAAGTTTGTTAGAGTATTAACTATTAGAACCCCCAATGGCCTTGTCAAGAGACCAGTTAATAAAATTTGTCCCTTGCCTCAAATAGATTAATAATAAATAATCAATAAATAAAAACTAAAAAAATAACAATAGTATACATATAAGTAATATAAATATCTATAATATAATATTCTATATAATTAGTAAATAATGTAATTTTCTATTTTTATACCAAATCTTCCATATCTATTGGAAATCATCACATTGATTTCGGTGGGTATGTTCAGTTATTGTCCAATTATTGGTGGGTAGATTAACTTTTACTTCGCCCATTAAAAATTTCTACAACGACACTAGCTTGCTGCGCGCTGAAGAGAGCACAACGTTTGTGTACGCGTCGTGTGTGAACTGGTTGTGGACGTTCCACCACCCATATAGTGTCTAGACCCGTGGTCATAGCATATCCTTGTATAGACTTGTCCAACAGTGAGCTACCAAAGCTGTGCACCGTGTGTACCCGCCAAGCCGAGCTACCATCGGAGTTACGTGTCTGACAGTTTGGAATCAAGGTGGGTGAAGTTTTGTTATTTGCTCGCCGAAAGTTGGACAAGATCATACACCCTTCTTTTTTCTTTTCAATACCTTTTGAGTTACAGTCCATTTTGCATAGTTCTAACACCTATTGTCAAGGTTACTCAAGATCTGAAAGTCGGATCTGCTCAAAATTCCTTAATACCCGCGTTGGTATGGATATAAAAAATATAATCGATTTTACTATTTTCTGTCGTGGATTACAACTTATAAATGCCGAATATAATATAACATATGATATTTCATTTCGGTTTTATCAAAACACCTTAAATGACAATAAAGAACTGAAAAATTCGGATAATCCGGATTTAAATCCCTACTTTGGTATCAGGAAACGTAACCGATTTCATCAAAGAAATATTTTGTAATAAAATCATATTATTAAGTATTGGTTAATAAATAAATGTTTTATTTTAGAAAACAATTCCATGAAATCTAATTATTTAGCCGGAAGAGTTACCTAATTCCTTTTATTATAATAAAATAGATCCGTGTTAAATGTATTATTTTTAATAGTGGAAGCCGTTTATAAGCAACCTAATTTAATCATATCTATGATAATAATATGAAGAGGAAAGATTTCATGTTTTGCATGAATTGCAGTCTCCTAAACTACTGGACTGATTTTAAAAATTCTTTAACTACAAGAAGCTACATTATACGCGGATGACATAGCGTATAATTTACGTAGGCGGAGGCATGAACAAACGCAACTTCATCGATAAAAAAAGCAATAGAATGTTTTTATAACTATAGCTTTAAGTTATGAAGCTCTGGTGTAGTAAAGATATTTAAATACCAAACTGATAAAAACCAAAAATACAAAACTCACCCTTCCAGCATGTTGCAGCACAAATGCGTGCCGAATAAAAACAGAAGATGTTAAAATTATAATTTTATATAATTTAATTTTCATTTCAAAAACAATGTTGTATTAATATTGGAATGCAATACCGCTTAATGGCACCTACATCAATCTGAAATAATGTTATTATAATTACATAGATCATGAAAATCATCAAAAATAACTTATGAGTCAGTACGCTAAAAAAATAATAATTGCCTTTAACCGTTATACTGTCAACAGCACGTCAGGTTATACAAATCTAAATATATAAGCACGTCAGGTTATGAAAGTAGAGTTTAATACGAGTATCAGCTGGAGAAATTTTACGTATTGTGGTAGCCAGACCAGCAATCGTATATAATATATATCGTATATAATATACAACAATAATTGTTGTATATATTGTTCCTCTTGATTGTTATAAACTCACCGCTTACGTCGTCGTGTTTTTGCTACACGAAAGTGCACAAGTATTTTTTGTTATAACGATTG